GGCGCGCCGGTCGCCGCGCGCCGCGGCCGAGGGCGCGAGCCTGTCGAAGCGGGCCCGCAGCCGCAGGTCGAAGGGCGCGAGCAGAAACCCCGGCGCCTCGTCCAGCTCCGCGACCTCGCCCGCAGGCGGCGCCGCGAGCCGGGCGAACATGCGGCCGTCGTAGAGCGCCGCCTCGTCAGCCTCGTCCGCGCGGTCGTCCCCGTCGCTTCCGCCGTCGCGCGCCTTGGCGGAGTCGGGGTCCGCGGGCGCGGGCGCGAGGGAGCGGCGCGACTCGTCGCTCGGCAGCGCCGGCCTCGCCGCCGGCGAGACGTAGAGCGAGAGGCCCTCGCACGAGCCCAGCTTGAAGACGGGCGCAGAGCCGCCGCCGTCGGGCTTGCAACCCTCGGCGGCCGCCACCTCCTTGTCGGCCTCGAAGCGGAGCGAGCGCAGCGTGAGGCCGAGCGCAACCAGGCCGCGGTGTGGGTCCTTCGTCTCGAGCCGCAGGTGCACGTCCGAGATGCGCACGACGACGCGCCTGAGCAGGCCCTCGACGAGAGATCGGCCCATGCTCTCGCCCATCCGGCCAAAGACGCCGCGCTTCGCGTTGACCTCCTCGAGCACCGCCAGCCGCGAGGCGCGCGCCTGCCGCTTCGCCGCCGTCTCCAGCGCCTCTTCGTACGGCTCGTCGCCGTCGCGAGGCGCGCAGAGCAGCAGCACCCGCTCGACGTGCACGATGATGGGCTTGGAGCGGAGCGCGCGCCACGGCACCTCCACGCGGACCTCGCCGACCGTCCCGCGGAGCACGCACACCGGCAGCGCCGCCAGCGCCTCCGTCCTCAGCCGCACGGACCGCAGCCGCACGTCGCCCGACCAGACGGAGAGATTGAGGTTGTCCGCGTCGACGCCCTCGAGGTAGGCGCCGAGCGTCTTTTGGAGCACCTCGGCGACCGCCTCCTCGAGGACCATCGCGGCTCAGCCGGGCAAGGCTGGGTGAGGCGTGCCTTGAGGGCCAGGAGCTACGCAGTTGAATGCTGATTGCAATGCTGTCGGGCTGGACGCGACGGCCGAGAAGTCGGCTGTCCGGGAGAGAAAGTTTAAACAAGACAACTCTCTCTCACAGCACACAGACGGAGAGAATTCATGGCTATAAATTTCTTTTCTCGTTACCCTTTGGTTTGGGCTCAAGACAACAAGAAGACACAAAAATATTCGCATCTTCTTCACAAAAGAACCAAATCGCCCCACAGGGCGGCTACGGAAGCTCCCATGAATTATTTCTACCCTTATAAGTCTCTCGTGTCGGCGCCGACGCTCTTGGTTTAACCGTAGAACGTCCCAGCCGAAATCCGCCCGCCACGATCGATCAGTCCACAATCGTCGGCCCGCAGCGACCCGCAGCGATGGATGCCGCCGCCCCCCCGGCCCCTGCGGCTGACGCGCCGATGCACGACCGGCCTCCGTCGGATGGCTCTCCGGCCTCTCCGGCCGCTGACGCGGCCGCCCATGCTGCTGCCGATCCGGTCCCTCTCACGCTCAGCGATATCCGCACAAGCTACGACAACTTCGAGGTCGCCGGCTTTGGCCAGGTGCAGAATCCAACCTGCTTGCCTCCATGTTCACGCTTCGCGCCCCTTCCCCCCCTCTGACGCCGCCGTATGACCGTAGGTGAGGGGCACGACTACCCGCCTGGAAGGCGCTCTCATCAGCAAGTCACCCAGGCACCAACTCCTGGGCGTTTACGCTTGACTACGAAACCATGCAGTGGATGCAGCTCGATCAAAACGGCGACGCCAACAGCTGGTCCCTGGGCGAGTTCCTCGCCCAGGATGAGGTGCGAGTCATGATGCTCGACCCAGCGTGCACCAAGTCGCTCACATTCCGTGAGTTCGTCAACGGGCCGAACACACTCTCCAAGTCGACTGCGATCTCGGACTCCGACAACTGGACCGGTGCACCGCGTAGGACGATGGCTCCCTCGACGACATCCCTTCATCGACGGACGCCTTCACCGCCGCCGGCCCTGGGCCATCCAGCGCGGCCTCCGACGGCCTGCACGTGATCGAGCGGGTACAGAAACGGTGGCTGCCGCAGCTCACACCCTAATCGATCTGCCTTAGGCACGGAGCCAACGGAGCCATCGCGCATGCCCGCATCGCGTGCGGCTCTGAGGTCTCCCGCCGAGACCGGCTCGGCGCGGCGCGTGGCCGCACGCCGCCGTTGAAAAGGCGAGATAGGACCGAGGGGAGAGCGCCGGCCACATCGAGCGAGCGCTGACGTGTAAGGTGTCTGTGCTGCTCCGGAGCGGTGTGTGTGGGATTCTGCCTCCCCCCCCATCTGTGCGGCGAGTTGTTTGCGGCGCGATGCCCGATCGTGCGCGATAGCCTCCCATTGTGCGTGGTGTGTCGGTTGTCGGGGTCGTCCGGAGCGTGTGGCGGCGCCGTTGCATGCAGCGACTGCTCCACGTGCCACGACTGCTTTGACTGACGTGACTGACTGATGAGTGCCACGAACTGCTTTGACTGACGTGACTGACTGATGAGACATGAGTGCTGATGGATGATCTCCGACAACCCAAAACCAAAATGCAAATGAGTGGCCCACTTTGGCGTGCAGATCCTGCGTCTCTCACTGCCCGAACAACAGAGACGGGTACCGCCGCAGGTCCCACACTAGTTTTGGTTAGAAGAGAAGAAGTATCTGAGGGCGGCCGCAGACCACGATCGACACTTGCCTCTCCTCGCTTTCAGTCTCGCTGTCTGTGACGCGTGGTCCATCCACGGCAACGGAGCCGAATCTGGCCGACCAACGATGCCGCCCCGCTCGCGGGCCGTCCTCGCCTACGAGGAGGCTGCGCCCGCGCCTGGCGGCTCCCGCGCCGCGCCGGCTCCTCGGCTGGCCTTCGACGCGGTGGCGCGGCTGCCCGAGCCGCACGACAACTGCGCCATCGCGAGGCAGGACCTGCCGCGAGGCACGGCGCTGACGCAGCTTCCGAGCGGCGGCTCGGAGCTCACGCTCTCGGTCGCGGTGCTGGAGGGCCACCGCTTTGCGCTCGTCCCGATCGCGGCCGGAGCGCTGCTCCTCTCGTGGGGCGAGCCGTTTGGCAAGGCGCTCGCGCCCATTGCGCCGGGCGAGTGGGTGCGGAACGCCAAGGCCCTCCACGAGTTGCGCCGGCGCGCGGTGGACTCGGCGCACGGCGCGCACGCCAACTTTGTCGACTTTACCAAGCAGCCGACGCTGACGCGCGACGGGTTCGCGCCGGGCGTGCGGCGCCCGCTCCGCCCGCAGCTCGCGCCCGGCTTTGACGGCTTCGTGAGGTCGGCGGGGCGAGGCGTGGGCACGCGCAACTACCTATTGCTGCTGTGCGC